TTGATTATTTCCAATCCTGACTTTTCCTCTTTGCTTTTCTGAATTTCTTTTTGAAAATTCCTCATTCACCTCCCTCCGATTGCAAACGTTTTTTGTTTTTTTTGTTTTGTTTTTTTTCTGTGCCGACTCCCTCCTGTCCTCGAAGCTTCAAAACATCGCAAGATGATTTAAAAGGAAAAAAAAAAAAAAACCCAGAGAAGTCCAAATTGATCTCTTTGCTTTGAAAGTGACATCCTCTCTACTCCTCTCATCTTGCGCTTCTCTTCCTTTTTCACCTCTTGACTCTGTGGAAAAGACGCTCAGGAATCAAAGCTATTGATCTTTTGTGGGTCAGAAGCACAGAAACTAGTCTGGACCACCTGGAAGTGTCACTGTAGGCCATATTTTTTCCCGTTTATTTTTTTCTTCTCTTGTTTGCATTGTCAAAATTCAAATTTTCTGATCATTTTCTAGATGTAACACCCGTTTTATCCCTAACAAACGGCTGTAGATGGACGCAGACACGAAGGAAGCTAAACAGAGATCAAACACGGCTGAGAGAGGAGGAGAGAGGAACTGAAAGTGACACCAAGATAGTCTGAGGGTCCCTGAAAGCTTCAGGTGGACAATTCTTTTTAGTTTCCTTTTGGGTTTCTCAGACTTCAAATGGTGTGTTTTCTGACGCACTGGAACCCAGAAGCCGATTGGCTCGCTCGACTCTGAGGATTATCAGGTTGGGGATAAATCTAATCCTAAAACAAAACAAAACAAAAAAAAGTTCTTAGGATTAAAACTATTACTATTACTATTACAAGGATCGTTTTTGGCATTTCATAGAAAACAAAAAACGCCTCAATCAATAAACATTTCACAGGAACCAACACCTTTGAGTCTTGTGTAAAACCCAACGGTGTTGGTAATTCATAGTTTTACTCCTTTTAACTCTGCAGCCTGTGCTCTCACCTCAGATATGTGTTCTACGTTTTGCCAGTTTAGCTTTCCACTGGATCCGATGTTGTCGTTTAGATACCAAATTCAGGTTCTTCAAAGGTTTCTTGATTTGTTCGAGGCTCGTGTCATCACACACACACACACACACACACACACACACACAATTAAATCTTCACACTCCTTTAAACAGAAGTTTACAGAGCTTTATTCCCGGACGTCTGCAGAATGAATGGAAGAGCTTTCTGTACATAGTCCCTGTACATAGATTGATTTCCTCGTGTAGGAGGAAAGTTATTTGGAGGGTTGGGGGGCTAAAATGGGTGGGTCTGGAGGTTATTAAGGGTGGGGTTGTGGGAAAATTGAGGG